AAAAAAAAAAAAAACTCTGTACCGCAAAAGTGATACATGATAGGATATAAAAAGACTGAACACACATTATCACATGCCACAAGTGCATCGAGATTCCTAGGATATACATGAATTCTTAGGCAATCTAGAGTATCACGTGTCAATAACACATTAACACTCAATAAATCGATTTCAGTGAAATTGCTGCTGGGATTTCACCAGTGCCACAATAATCATTATAGACATGTCACTCGTATACAAAGAGTGATACTGCACATTAGCTTGCCTCATGTGCTTCTTTATCCCCGGCTCGATTTTTGGACACTCAAGGTGTCTCCAATTTAGCTTAAGAAGAAAGTAATAATATATAATATAATAGTAATTAAAAAAAAAAAATATCAAGTTTCATTTGTGTTCCCATAACCAATTATAAAATATTAGAACAATAACCGTTGAATTCAAGGAATTATCACCATCCCATCTCAAAATAGGGCTGTAGTTGACAAATTTGATATTTGAGGACTATACTTTGATTTTATCAAACATAAGAAGCTCAAAAAGAAGAAACAACTACTAAATTCTCAGTTTGTCAAGGTTGTTAGGGATAAAACAGCAGTCCTCCATCAAGCTCCTCCATCTCTATATGTTTACAACTAATAGAACCGGGAGAAGAGAGTATGGTCCCACCAGATGAAGCGCACCATAAGAGGGTAAGCCTAGATGCACCTTAGTGAAGTTCCATCCCAAAACCAATTGGTGATGGGAGGAGTAACCCACTAGGCTCATTTCCCTGTAGAATCAATGTGGGACAACTCACAAGTGATATTCCAACAATAACATATAAGCCTCCTTTTTCCACCACAGTATTTCAGTCAATCTTCATTTCAAAAACTTGATTCTAACAAGGAAATGTGAGAAACCTTTTCATAACTAAAAAATGGGGGAAAAATGCACAAAGAACTAAACTTTAAACTCAGCATCTCCTCTGATAAAGTTAATTCAACTTGAGACATGAAATCAAGTTCTTCAATTAGGGCTTTTTTTTCTCTCTCTACTGGACCATAAAATTATCACATGGAAATAAGTTAATGCCTATTGGAGATGAATTAGTTAAAAAGAATGAATATAGACGAGAACAGAGAGTGAGAGAATGCTAATTTCACCTGGCTTACATCTTCAGCAATGTTGAGCCCTTCCGCCATTGCCATAAAAATGCACCTCTTCTCCTAAGCCCACTGTGTGGACTGTTCTGCGTGAAGATTTTCTACGGATAGCTGAATATTAATTAATCTGTGTGGTGGTCGTGTCTGTTATTTTAGCTGACGGCTCCTCCACTGTGGGTCATCCTTATCCAAGCGAAGTACATAGTAAAACATTTGAAATTCCGTTCGTAAATGTTAAATCATCGTGTAACCGTCGAAAATAGTTAATCTAACATTTACAAATTCTGAAAGAATGGTTCCATAATGGGACGTAGCATCTCCCTACTTTATATTAGCACGTTTATATTATCCATGAAATATCCGCAACTCGGTTTTGACATCTATTATTATATAAAAAGGCAACCTAAATAATTCTAAAATAGTAACTAAAAAATAAGATAAAATCCCGCCTAAACAAATAACTAAAAAAAGTAACTTTTTTGAATTTTTTGCAAATGCCGCCTTATTGGATAGCTTGATTCTTTTGGCATGTTTGAAAAGTTTTGTCCACATCCCACATTTTTAGGTTGCCGTTTAAAATTTTCAGAATTTTAATGAACAAATCAACTTTAAAACATTTCAGATTAGGTTTGTTAATAATATTAAAACAAATTACTTTAACATTCAGAAAGCATATCAGTTTAGTTCTTTTTTTTTTTTTTT